AAATACACTGAACCCAGGTCATCGATCTACTTGTACTAAGAGTGTACTTGCCAAGTTATCTACAATAGCATTGAGTATTATGTATCTACAGACAAGAATCCTGAAGTGTGTGGTTTGCCGTCTCACTTTTGCTGCCGCGACCAAGTCTATGCTTGGTAAAACTAACCAGTCCGTTTACAGTTCGTTCAACGTCCTACCATGGATAACTTGATCAGATCAAAGTATTCGTGTGGAGTATAACCGAATCAGACTTGTTTACTTGCCCCAAATTTTCTTCCTATTGAAAGTCAAGGGATTGGTTCTGTCAGCGTGTGAAGATGACCATTAGCGCCATCAAATGTCTTGTTTGTGTAAACTTTTCCCGAGAGTCCTAGCTGGCGAGAAACCTCGTTTGATGATGGGTTGATTGAGTTCAAACACCCAGTAGTAGTTTGACGTGTTTGAAATTTATACTGGTTGTTCACCTGTCCCTCGGAATCATCTCATTTTGATTAGCTATCTTGCTACATTCACGAGCTGCCCATCAGTCTGCTCCAACTGATCAGGTAGGAATAAGTTGATGTACTTTATCGTACCGTTTTAGCAGTAAAAAGCGCGAAAGAATCTATCGTTCACAGTGGTTCGGTTGCAGTGATTCCCCTAGGAAACGTGCAACAAAATCCAACAGCGTCTCAACATATGTAAGGGAAAATGTTACTAGGTTTTTACATCAAGAGCAGAATCAAGTCGTCAGCTAGGATATTAAAAACTTTATTATCGAGGATTCCAGTTTGGCCTCTGCACGTACAGCGCAGGGCCCTGGTTTTGGGCCCGCTGTACTGGACGTGTCTCGAATCTACTCCACTGCACACATCTCACAGACTGCGCACGTTCATCTTCACAGCGCCATAAAATCAAGCAACGATGACGCATAAGATAGGTATAATTAGGGCACGCCAAAACAAACCAGTGGTATCCCAAAAACAGAGCTAGCCTATACACCGTAGGTTGAGGTTTACCGCAAAGTTAATCAAAATAGAATGAGGCCACAGAAAAGAGTGAATAGGTTTCATAAAAAGAGATGAACTCGTGTGACATTACTTAACTACCAGCAGCGCGTACAGGTGGATGTCTGATGGTCAGGTCAGGGGTCCGACAGAAATACTGATCCTGTCTGAACTTGAAGTCCAACAAAATTTCTTCTAGCCGAAATCAGTGAGCGGATAACAGCAACAACTTCGCGTGTACTCCGCTCTTTACGGATCCTGTTATTCTGTATGAATAACAATTCACACTCCAACAGTGTTACACTTGTATGCCGGATAAGCCCGTACCATCAGAAATTCGCAGGCATATCAGGGTGGACTTCAACCCAAACTGTCAAGAGTGTGTTTCAAAACAACTACGCTGCAAAAAACTCAGCGCACCACTGTAAGTTTGACGGCTGGGAAGTCATCATTTATTGGCTCAGGTGAACTACCAAAGTGAACATTTTCAAGTCCAGATGATAGGATCCTGTGTGGAACATGACTGCTGCTCATCTGAGGAGCTAACCGAATCATTTCACCTATCTGTGATGTTATGGACCACACATTGGATTCGACCGGATAAATAGCTGTAGTTCTGATACACTGGATTTGAGACGGCACGCGCACTCCCTCCTGATTTACTTATGAATGGGGGTTGGTTCCTACCGAAACCTGTGGCAGTTCTTTTTTTTACTTGTTTGTTTTATCGGAAATCTGCGATTATCGATTTCCGAGCTTTGTGAATCTATGAACGCTGTTGACCGAACTCGGACAGCGATGACTCACGAACAGATCTTTGATTTTGCCGACTCAGCAGCCGATAACTTTTTAGTGTTTCGTCCTTCTTTCACGGCTGATATTGAAACTGGTCGATACTGTTTTCGAGAAACACATTCATTCACAAATCAATTTGGTTCTCACGGGTGACTCAATTGAATCGCTCATTTATGATGTCCTCCAACTGAATGTGCTGCACACAGGCCGCCTCATGATTCAGTTGGCATGATAGTCGAGATATCGCAGAATATTTTCATAAAGGAAACTACTCAAAAGGTTGCTCTCAACTGAGTCTCCCGTGTAAACCAAATTGATTTGCAAATGAGTGTATTTCTCGAAAACAGTCCAATTTTGGTTCAAATAGATCATAAGGTTTACGGAAACTCGGGGAGTGCGCCTACCTGATGAGTCCAGAGTGAAGGGCGAAACCGGTCGTGGGCTGTCGAAGAGTTTTCAGCAACCTTGTGAGTAGTTTCCTGGTCGATACTGTGTTCTTGAATGATACCGGGCAAATAAGCTCCATGTCTCACATTTCTGCACCAGACATAGAGGGTTGACCGTTACCTCACCACTGTTCCAAGGTAGTTCTCATGACATTTAACACCTGTCGGACGCGATTTCTCAAAATTAGTTTTCTCCTGGTCTGAGTTCGAGTAGAGCATGTGTCTAGTGCTGGGTCTGATGCTGAGTTTTGTCAATATGGGGCCAGATCTCAGCACACTGTCTCAACGAAAGTACTGGTGGTTCTGGTTGAATAATGTGCCGAGTGTACTCGTAAATGAATGAGGGTCAGTAGGTTGATACAGCCCCATGAGCACGCTTTAAAAATCAGGGCCTCAGGCTCTGGAAGCACCCCCGTAAAACTGCGTAACACTAAATTCTCAAGTCAAGTCTAGCCATGTTTGAAAACAAAACATAAGTTTCTGGTGCACGCCAACTACAATACACAGAAGTTAGCGAAACTTTGCAGTGATCTATTTTGAGAGATGGTGTGAAGTGACCATCACAGGATTCACAATGGAAGAACGAAACGTTGAGAACTGGTGTCCGCCATCAATTAGATTTGTTACAATACGCACCCGAGTTCTAAGTTATCTCAGCCGAGTCTGCCAAACTGACAGTTGGGCAAAGATTATCGATCTTCTGTTTGCTGTACTCGCACTTCTGGTATGCAAGACATAAACAGCGGAGTATTTTGCTTCACTTGGAACCGACTTCAAGCTAGACGGTATAATTTCTCACGTTGCACAAAATTCTCCCTTGTTCTCTCTGCCCCGGCTCAGCACCGAACAGGGGCTATCGATTTTGATCTGACATGTATAGAACATGTTTACCGGGGAAATAGTGAGAAATGCTGGGAAGGTCGATGAGAAGTTAATCCAAATTCAACGCACTTGAGGGTACAAAAAGTTCTTGCCTACTGTTATCAAAAAGAATACTTCATGGTTCCTCTATTTGGTTCATTTGCGGCACAGAGTCAGTTCCGGTTGGGTAGGAGCGTGCACATTAACTTTTCGAATGAACTCTTGTTCGTATCTGACAAACAGCTCTCTAGGGTATAGACTCAGACGAATTTTAACTGAAGCACTCGTCGACACGAACTTACGTTGCAAGTAAGTGTTTATCGCGGTACACTGATGTTTATCTAGCGCAAGAACGGCATACCAAGCCGCAAAAGACCCCTCGCCTTTATCCAGATGCCTGTGAATTCTCCATTCTTCCCCAATAATCTAGACTGTCTTCATGACCACTGAGTGCCAGTTTCTTCTAATTCAAAGTACACATGATATTACGCCTTGATCGTTTCACTCTGCGCTTTATTTCCAGTTTATTCAGCCAAGAAGGCTCCCTAGTACTTGTATGCTTCGAATCAGAGCAGCTCGGAGTATTTGACAGGGACACCGAACTTTCGGATTCGCCTCTTGGTCGTTCATTAACTTCCCGCGTTCGTAGTTCCGCACAGTCCGGCGCAGCTTCTTGTTTTCCCTGGTATCTTAAACTAGGAGTATCAGGAGGGCCAGATTCCTGAAAGCGACCACTGAGTGCCCGAAATCTACTGAGACTCTCAGCTTCTCTAGATGTTGATCAGACAGACAACGCCCTCTCAATATGGGGCGCTTCACAGCCTTGTCTCAAACACAAACAGCGCGAGTCAGCGTTGATCATGGTCAGACAACGCCCACCCCCTACTATGCAGCGCGTCGCAGCCTCGTACCAAAGCCAGACCGCATGTATCTGTATTGGACCAAGTTCAGACAGTGTTCCTCCAATAAATAGCTTAAGACGCTGTACTTTTGCACTCGCACGCACTCACGCTCTGGCACTCGCTTGTTCGGAACATGGCTGTTGTGTCCCCTTCTGTGAGTCTTTTTTTCCGGCATTAGGCACTGCGGCGAGTCAGCTGTCAGATACAACAGATCGGCGAATCAGCAGATACAACAGGGAGATTAGCCAAAAAGTTGTCCATCGAACAATTGGGCAGAACAAGCTTCCAAATGGCGCTTCCCCTGTTTATTCCAGTGTCACTTTACACACGAAGAACTGATGTGCTGCTCTTCAGTTTACCCAGTTTGATTAGATCGAGAGCACAACTTGGGCTGGTGTTGAGCCACGAGCATACTGGTCGCTGCAGAGACCACTCTCATTATGGCCTTGAGGTTTGTGAGTAAGGTCATGTCACATGCAGCTCAGGGACAGTTATCTGTTAGATCCATGAAGTGGCTATCTCAATTCACAGTCAGTCAGACGCAAGACCTTCTGTCGCTCGTCAACTTGAAATCGATCACGAACTCAGTAAGCGCATTTTCTTGGACTATGAACAATCGGAGTTGAAAGGGAGCAGACAAAACTGAGAAGAATCTCGTAAGACTTGTTACGAGAAGTTCTGGAAGGGCACCAGTCAGAAAATCCTGTACAAGAAACGATAAACCTGGTAAATGGTAAATGCGATAAAGTTGTTTCTAGCTACACGTAAGACCTGCAACTTTGGTTTGCAGAGTCTAGGCGCATTTTGATTGGAATGAACCGAATGACTGAGTATCTGCCAATCCCAGTTTTTCCTTCATTCGTTCGCCAAATAATCAATAATCTCCTTGGTTGAGTTCGAGTGATTTTCAAAAAGGCCTCTAACGCTGTAGAAAGCCAGAACTGTTGTGAAATCATTATTAAAGTGGAACTGATTGTAGCTTTCTTTATGTGTTTTTTCATCCGATAAAGTCAAACAAGTGCACCACTAGCGGGCAAGACGAGATGGGTAAGAACCGAGCCGCATGTTTCCATAAACAAACAGGTAGGTTTGACTCAGGTAATTCACCAATATATCCATCAGATCGATCGAAAGGTTAAGGAAACTGATCAAGTGCGATCACATGTGATTAAATCGATACATTTCTAGTTCTAGACATACAGAATTCACCACCTACAGTATCCACTGCTTCGAACGCGATCATCTATCTAACTCTGGCAAAACAAAATATGACACATAAGTTTATGACATACTTGTTTTCCCGGAATTAGAAAGTTTGCACATCACTCAATCACTTTGACTTGGCCTGAATGTTTATGACATGCTTGTTCTCCCGGAATTAGGAAGTTTGCACACCACTCAATCGCTTTGACTTGGCCTGAATTTACAGTAAACATTGCGATAAATGTGCCAGTCCGCGGTCAACACAACCGCCTTGTCTCTACAGGTGTCCAGTCTCGTAGTCAATGCCACTGGATGGTTCGATCTCCCAATGGGACCAGTAGGAACCGCCTCCTTCCGTTTGAGTTGGGGTTTAATTGGTGGCAGCCGTTTCCACCGATATCGCAGTCTGGTGGATTGACGTAGCTAATGAATCGCAAACATGTGATTCATACCGCACGCAACAAGCTGTTGAGGTGTTATCATCACAGCTGCGTGTCTCGTTGATTAGTTAGTTCCAGAGACAATACTCGGTACACCTCAGATGGAAAATCGAGTAGTTATCATACATCGTTTATCGATTTTTGAAGGATCAGGGAGAGTGGTCAGTCGGAAAACCATCCGTTTTACCATGGTATGAACATCATATAGGGGTGGATGAGATGAGAAAAAGTTCGTGGCATTCATCTGTCTTTTCGGTTGCGCAATGTGTAATTGGATTCTTATTCAACACTGCCCCTGCTTCCTCGTGGCCGGGAGGTTCTTTACACGGTTCACAATCCTTATTTTATACCGAAACACAACTTTTCACCTGTCTTACGGTACGTCAGAGTTGTGTGTTCTGCGATAAACATCAGTCACCGGTTTGTCACCATTTTTGACGCAATTCCGGCTGGGGCTGCGACAGGTGTTTATGCTAATTTGTTTTCAGATATTGGTGTGACTGTGACACCGCCATAAATTAGCAGGTAGGTTCAAGTAGTCCTCGTGAATGGTGTGACTGTGTGGCTGGCACCGAAAAAGGAACTTAGATAGACTACCCATTTGCAAACTAATTCGGTTCTAACGGGAACCTTATCTGAATCAATTCTGAATAACCCAGGCGTATAATATTCTTCAGCTGAATGTGCCGTCGACTTATCGTCTGCCGGGACAAGCGCTGATTTTCGTGCCTAATTCGGAGTGACAAAAATCTAGAGGTGGATACAATTGGACACGACAGAAAGGGATGAAGACTGGTACGAAAATTTTGTGTGTTTTTGGTGCTGTCCATCTTCGATGATGAGGTTAATTTGACCCTCTGTGTACTTGGCTGGAAACACTAAACAATACGGCGTCTAACCGATGTCACTGACGTTACCAACCAAGTTGTCTCGGAGGTGTATGAGCCTCAGATGTTTGCTTTGGGCTAGCCCCAAGACCCCCATCCTGTCCGGTTTTTCTTGTTCCAACTGTAAAACTTTAACTACATAAATTGATAGGGTTGTGCAACATTGATTCACCAGCGTACTCGATTGGTGTCGCTTTGAATGATGTTGGGGCTGACGATGGTGTCCATATGACAGTGACCGTACTGGAATCTATCGGTCAACATCTCTCAATGGTTAGAACCGTCATTTGTAGAGGTGTGTCACTCAGGTCATAGTGCCAAGCAACCGGAACTCTCTAGACCGCCTGACAGTAACTGTGCTCGAAGACGAATAGGTCTGTTGGTATCAAGTGGAACCTTAAAACAGGAGTACTGACCTCACTCAATCAGTGTTTCGAGTCTGTCTGCGGTACAGTCAGCACACATCTGGTATTACAGCGTTTAAGAAATCCATTTTTTCAGGCGCCAATTGTTGGGGATGACTAGCTATCGTAGGGCAATCATAAACGGGGGCGCTAGGTTCGGAAGCAGATATCTTACGAAGAAAGGAGTATATTCATTCGCTGTTATTTCAACGTCGTTTTTGCGCCTTAACACAACACACCACTTAATCATATTTGTCCATCGTAGCGAAGGGTTCATCAATTTGTCTCAGACAATCCTGTTTAGACCGTTGTTCCCATGTGCATAAAGCAGTCGCACCTTCTTGCGTTAGTCTGTGAGTGTGAATACGAACACATTACACAGAAGACTAGCAGTTGCTGTCGAAAATGATGGTTTTCTTTCAGGAATAGGGGATAAACTTTGATTGACAAACTGGCTGGTATCCATTAGATGGGTAGACAGTGCAGTGCGGTGCGGTCTGGAAACCGCTGACCAAGTCCAGCTGCGATCGTTCGGCTGACCAGGATGAGCGAAAAGATTGCGACAGTTCATTTGTGTTATTAGCAGACTAGACGAGTAAAAACTTATTCATCTGCAGTTGCAAATTCAAACGAATGATGCTGGCGAAATGTGTTAATTTTCTTCTATACTTCTATTGCGCTTATTTAATAAGCAGTACTTGTGTAACGGTGGATACTACTGATGGGGGCATGCGAGTAGTATGTTTTCTCGTAAATCCGCTTCGTGTCTCTTGAAAAGTGAGATCTATTGCGGAATTTGTGGAGTCACTTTTGTTTGCATTTGAGCAACAGGAAAGTTTAGGAAGACGCGTTGAAGGAGAAGATGGATATTCAGTTTTTTAAACAAGATTCATATGAGAGTTTTGCTTCCCTGTCCAATAGTCCGTAACTTAGTCCGTCAACATTATGTTCTCCTACTTGAAACCAAATTGCACAAAATTAACGAGATGCACTCATATGCGGATAAATTTGTTTTTTACGAGAAACTCAGCTGGAAGCCAGCTGAATCTCTCGCTTATGATGAGTAGTTTGTTACGTTCAAACATGTATCGCGATATCTGGGACCAACTGAAACACGAGGCAGCACAATCACTTGCCTGCAAACATCATAAACAAGAGATTCATCTGGGTTCCAGGTGAGTCCCTCACAAAACCAAATTTGTTTGCAAATGAGTGTATTTCGCTAATGTGCTGTCTTAGTTTTCAGTGTGGTCTAACTTTCTTGTCTCAAAGCTAAGCGTAAGACTATCGGAAAGTTTTTGACGCACACGGTTTTTTGGACAAGTTTGCAGTTTAGTGTTCCAAATATCTTCCACACGATGTAGACACACAGGCCACCGATTTTCTTCAAAACCGTGCATTTTTTCATTTCTGGAAGCCTTGGCATTTTCCGCAGAAATTTTCGATAAAACTCGCGGCATCACTGCATGGTAATTAAAAAGTGTTCCGATAGACATATGAAGAAGGAAATGAGAAGAGCTGCATGTATCGAAGGGTGCCCCCAAATTAGTGTTTAATCGTTCAGTCTCATATCACTCTCGTTTTGAACAGTCGTCCTCCTGTCCTGGCGCAATTATTCATGTTGAAACTGAACAATACACCTCCCGCGAAAACCATCACATAATGTTTAATCGTTTTTCAGTTTGTGCTAGTACACCTTGGAACACTGGTCAGGTCAGGAATCATATCGGAATATGTATGGCATACTGTCGGGAAGCCTTAACAGAGGTGACAGAGGTATGAAAAGTTTGATGTGGAAGTTCCTCACAAATTTAAATTGCTCCGGTTTACGTGAAAGTCATTCAGCTTCAAAAGTACACATCATAATCAAACAGGTTTAACGTTCCAAGAAACCCAGGAATAGGAGTACGCGATGGGGGTGATACTTTACCTCTGCCAGCCATTCTAACAGTAGTTCAAGCAAAGATCCAGCCCAACCAATATGAGCAATTCATATTCTCTTCGTACCAGTAATTCGCTCGTATACTTTCTAATACAATAAGAGTAATGTTCTACAGCGGAAATTCACAAGAAATGCCGAGAAGTCCTTTGCCTTCAGATATAAAAAGTAGTCTTGACAGAACACGGGGGGCTAGGTGAACGTGGAATAGTCTGTGAGTTTACCAGTAAGTTCTACCCCGGAAGTTGAACAAATCACTTTGACAAACAAGAGGGAAGGGGTTGAGCAGTTTGGTGGCATTCACTCAGATGAGTCGAAGCCATGTCGATCTGAGTTGGCTTCGTTCTAAACTGTTGATAGTATGGTCAGACGCACTGTCTCAAAAAAATTAGCTATTCTTGCAAGACAGCCTTACTTTACTCAAGCCTGGTTCAACCACCGTTGCTGAATAGCTATTTTGGTTTCGTTGCTTAAACATGTTGCCAGCGGATTCCACCTTCACTATAATTAACTTCAACAAACAGCGAGGAATCAGCCATGGATACAGTTTACTGCAGATGTTTCTCTTTTCTTCGGGCCAAACTGAAGTGATCAATCATAAGTAGAAATTAAGTCTTCTCATCAGGGGTGAAACCAAGACTGGTTTCTTTCTGGGCTATTCCACTGATGAGAAATGTCTGTCACCTGAAAGACTTTTAAACGATATCCATGCCGCGAAGTGGTGTGTAAAGCGTGACATCGAAACAAAGTTGTACTTGGACGGTGGGTATCCGATTCCACACACTGTAGCATGACACTCTTATTGATGCATATCAAAACAGGTCAATTGTGTCAGTGATTGATAGTTCTTGAATTGAATATTCCAACCGGCAATTTCAATCACACCATGGCATATTTGTGTTCGACCCAGAAGGCCCAAATTTCTAACCTTTTTCGAGTATACTCCTCTAGATCCGTATCGCAGATAACATCTGGACTGACTTGGCTAGAACACCTCCACATTTGAAGGTATTTTATTGGGGAGCCCGCAGGCCAATCCGTGGAACAAACCGACGATTTCCGGTAACTTTTGTTGGGTATGCTTCATTAGAGTAGGTCTTGATTTTGATCACTGACAGCCCAATGCACCATTTGGTCGTTAGCATCGGTTGAACAAAGAAGCACTCAAGCAAGCGTGCACACGAATTCAGTGTGGCGCTAGTCGGTAGTAAACACGATAGAAAGGCACAGTTGATATTGTGATCAAGGTCAGTCGGGTTTGCCAGCCATGGGGCGCGTGACATAAAAGTCGCACAGTATATCCATCCATGAATTCAGCTGGTATATTTTTTGGATCTACTCCCCCGCAGGAATCTTTTCGCCCAGCCCTGTGCTGAGTGGAAGCGACCGACAGGTGAACACTCCGCGAATTGGTAAAGAAGTATGAAGAGAAAAACTTAATCAGTCAGTAAACTTAGTCAGATCGGTAACTGCTGCTTCCTTGACTTGAGATCCTGGGACCCAACTCATTTTAATGATACTGATAAACAATCACGCAGTCGGTGGCGCTCGTGAATCAAAGCTATCCATTTTGATGCGTTGCTACCCAGTTTTACGAAATAAGTGATCATGTCATCGCCTCTAAGGATTGTCTATATCACCCGCGCTCCTCCGTTTTCTGAACTGAACTGAACTGAACTGAACTGAACTGAACTGAACTGAACTGAACTGAACTGAACTGAACTGAACTGAACTGAACTGAACTGAACTGAACTGAACTGAACTGAACTGAACTGAACTGAACTGAACTGAACTGAACTGAACTGAACTGAACTGAACTGAACTGAACTGAACTGAACTGAACTGAACTGAACTGAACTGAACTGAACTGAACTGAACTGAACTGAACTGAACTGAACTGAACTGAACTGAACTGAACTGAACTGAACTGAACTGAACTGAACTGAACTGAACTGAACTGAACTGAACTGAACTGAACTGAACTGAACTGAACTGAACTGAACTGAACTGAACTGAACTGAACTGAACTGAACTGAACTGAACTGAACTGAACTGAACTGAACTGAACTGAACTGAACTGAACTGAACTGAACTGAACTGAACTGAACTGAACTGAACTGAACTGAACTGAACTGAACTGAACTGAACTGAACTGAACTGAACTGAACTGAACTGAACTGAACTGAACTGAACTGAACTGAACTGAACTGAACTGAACTGAACTGAACTGAACTGAACTGAACTGAACTGAACTGAACTGAACTGAACTGAACTGAACTGAACTGAACTGAACTGAACTGAACTGAACTGAACTGAACTGAACTGAACTGAACTGAACTGAACTGAACTGAACTGAACTGAACTGAACTGAACTGAACTGAACTGAACTGAACTGAACTGAACTGAACTGAACTGAACTGAACTGAACTGAACTGAACTGAACTGAACTGAACTGAACTGAACTGAACTGAACTGAACTGAACTGAACTGAACTGAACTGAACTGAACTGAACTGAACTGAACTGAACTGAACTGAACTGAACTGAACTGAACTGAACTGAACTGAACTGAACTGAACTGAACTGAACTGAACTGAACTGAACTGAACTGAACTGAACTGAACTGAACTGAACTGAACTGAACTGAACTGAACTGAACTGAACTGAACTGAACTGAACTGAACTGAACTGAACTGAACTGAACTGAACTGAACTGAACTGAACTGAACTGAACTGAACTGAACTGAACTGAACTGAACTGAACTGAACTGAACTGAACTGAACTGAACTGAACTGAACTGAACTGAACTGAACTGAACTGAACTGAACTGAACTGAACTGAACTGAACTGAACTGAACTGAACTGAACTGAACTGAACTGAACTGAACTGAACTGAACTGAACTGAACTGAACTGAACTGAACTGAACTGAACTGAACTGAACTGAACTGAACTGAACTGAACTGAACTGAACTGAACTGAACTGAACTGAACTGAACTGAACTGAACTGAACTGAACTGAACTGAACTGAACTGAACTGAACTGAACTGAACTGAACTGAACTGAACTGAACTGAACTGAACTGAACTGAACTGAACTGAACTGAACTGAACTGAACTGAACTGAACTGAACTGAACTGAACTGAACTGAACTGAACTGAACTGAACTGAACTGAACTGAACTGAACTGAACTGAACTGAACTGAACTGAACTGAACTGAACTGAACTGAACTGAACTGAACTGAACTGAACTGAACTGAACTGAACTGAACTGAACTGAACTGAACTGAACTGAACTGAACTGAACTGAACTGAACTGAACTGAACTGAACTGAACTGAACTGAACTGAACTGAACTGAACTGAACTGAACTGAACTGAACTGAACTGAACTGAACTGAACTGAACTGAACTGAACTGAACTGAACTGAACTGAACTGAACTGAACTGAACTGAACTGAACTGAACTGAACTGAACTGATAGCACCACATATTTTCGTTTGGACGATGTTTGCTTGATCTTCCCAGGAGGGTCTTCAGCATGACCGTCGATAGGATGTAATCCTTATACGTCAAAAAGTGCCATAAAGCATAAACACGTGGGTCTAGATTGCAGGATCTTCTCGTGAGATTTGAAACAGTGTCTGGGCCTACAAATTCATTGTCCTAGTAACTAAAAACCCACTACGACTTTGTTATATCGAGTGGTGTGTACTTTCAAACCGGTCCAGACAGCTCTGTGGCATGCTCCAATCGGTGGATCCATCCTAACTACGTTTCCCCCTCTCACCGCACCACCCACTTGATACAACTTGTAGTAAATTGCAGCCGTGTAGTTTATTTATTGTGAAGGCCGTCTATATCATCTGAACGAGAGCACGAATGGGGTTCAGCTTACACTCTGTTCAGCATCACACGAACTTCAGTATGATTGTCCGGTCCCTGTGTGGGTTTTATGAGAGTACGAACGCCGCCCTTATAGTACCATATTCGTCAAACGACGCTTGACCGCTGGTGGATTAGATCTAACAAGTTGTCACTCGAGGAGCCGGTCAACAAGAGATCACTTTACGTGGATTCCGTGTTTGAATGACGAGTAACGCTTTATCCTGTTCAAGTGCGGTTTAAACACAGTGACGACCGACCGTTGAACGATTAAGGGTTCAAACTACTAACCTGGAGGTTGAGGGTTCGGGACTCCCTGGAGTTACGTCAGATGCACACTGCTGATGATTTCCAGTAAGAAATAAATGACCGTACAGTGACCCGGCTTTTCAGCATAGATTGACTTCACCTACAGTTTGAAATATCGATCGATAATGACCTAATTGCCTTTGTCATCGATTGTGTCATACTTGCGTTGATAGCGTCTCGACATATTTCTGTGGACAATAGTCGTCTAAAGCAGCCAAAAAATTTGGTCTGCTCTCCATAGATGTTTCCATAACTCCATACATGTTTCACCCCCAGGAGGTTGAACTGGAAGACTGTCCAACCTGACTATTACTTCCACAAAGGTTTAATTCTCGAGCTACCTTATATTCACACCACATTTGTTTGAACAAGTCCCAAGCTGTCTCAACACAATGGTTGTGATTAGTCCGTATCAGAGAGGGGGGAGGACCTGGACTCGATTTCAGCAGTGCCTACTCTTAGCCTCGCTGAGATTTGTGTCCTGGACATCTTACATACAGTCGTGTTAAAAATGCTTCACTAGGACTGAGCGCACATGAACTATCGCGCTTTATCAAGTGAACATGTTCACACTTGAACTGGGTTCTGTTTGTCCAGCGCCTAAGGCGAAGAGCCTGTGTTATCTTGGTTTTGCCTATCAATTGCCTGCCTGTCAAGACTTCTTGGCCCCGTCGGTACGGCCAAAGATATGTAGGCACCGCTGACAAACCCTGATAAGAGCGAAATCCGATTCTAGTTCTTCCCTGCTTCAGTCAGTGTGCAGCAACCTATGTTGGCGCCGCAGGGTGAGATAGATATGAATACAAATTCTCTAAACCCCTGAAACCAGTAAAATGATTTTCAGAACGATGAGGACAGACGGAACCAGAGGTTGTCACTGTCTCTATTTTCTTTAAGTTCAGTCGGGCAATTGAAGTGGCGGAACGCTGGTCTGTAAAAAGGGCCCGCGTGTACCAGTTCCCTAACTGCTTACACCTCTGCCCATTTAGTGAAACAATGAGTAGCGTTTTGTGGAATTTGAGAGTAGTACACCGATAAAGCTCAAACAATTGTGGATATTGTTCAGTTTCATATCACTCTCGTTTTGGACAGTCGTCCTCCCATCCTGGCGCAATTATTCATGGGAATCCCCCCAAAGGGGGAAGCACTGGACTCGAGTTTTACTCTTGTTAGAGCCAAGGGCCGTGCCGGGGTTTGAACTCCGGACACCTGACATGCGAGGCGAACGCGTTACCACTATTCCACCAACGCACGTTGGACGCATTTGAATTCTCACGTCTGAACGGGCATACTAATTACATCGTTCAAGTGAGAGCACGTTCAGCTATTGGGGTCCAGTGCTCCCCCCGCCCCTTTGACATGGATTCACATGAATAATTGCGCCAGGACAGGAGGACGACTGTTCAAAACGAGAGTGATATGAAACTGAACAATACACCTCCCGCGAAAACCCCACATGCATCAATCGTGGATATATGCTTCTCCCAAAGTAAACAGTGTAACTTCAAAAGCGGAAAGACTATCTTCATTGAAGTTGGCCGGAAAATTCCAAACCCGTCGTGCTTCTGACCGCCAACTTTGAGTCCACTCACTACTGACAGATTCCAGTGATTAGAGGTGTAGGTTAAGCTTTTGTACTTTTTACAAGACCTACAGGAAATTTACCCATTTCGATGCGTATGTTTATGCCACTATTTTCATGGATGGGCTGCAAAGCCAGCCTTCGATTTACATCACTTATCACAGTCCCAACACACGAGGCCAGCGAGTCTCTGCTGCGTATTAAATGGAACTGGTGCAGAGGTGGCAGCTGGCTGACAAAATTAATCAGAACTTTAAAACCAAACATGTTGTTTGGTCCGATCTGGAGTTGCTGAACTCTTTGCTCATCAGGAGCAACTTCTGGACCAACTTGTCGTCACAGCCACTAGTCGAAGGCAAACTCACCGAACCAGTTACGCGATCATTCAGACCTTATACTACCGGAGACGGCGTCTCCTACAGCTTAAATTTGGACGCCGATGAGTACTGGACAGCCGGACAACCGGATGAACGAAGAATACTAGTGTAGAATGCGAAGAAGCATGAAGAGGGCACTGATGGATTTTTCACCCCATCATCTCAGTTCTACCTGTCATTGATTGAACTGTTTATTGTTTTTCCGATGACCATGTCTCATCGAGAGTCCGCCTAGAGTGTTTTTGAATTGGTTTCACCGAGGTCACAGTCCGGGACTTGGGTCTTGTGATCTGACCATATTTTCAAGATATGTAGTTTGTGCGATGTTGGTGTTTGCTGCTCTTCACTCTACCCCTCCTCCCCCCACTGCTCGTGACTCCAACACATCGAGGGGAATTAGGCCGCCTTAAGGAACGGGAGAATGCTTGGTAAAAATTGAGTTCTACATGACCTCAACTGGTTTAGTTCTCATCTCGGGATCTACCTACCTTCTTATTGTGGACAATACCTTTCAGAAATTGAGAGACCCTCCAGATGGCAATGATTTGGATGTCTCACTGCAGAGTTAGGGTATACCGCCAGCCATCAATGTGTGTTACCTAGTCAGCACCTGGCTCTTTAAGGCAAATAAAAAATATTCTTTCTGATGCATGCGGACAAAGTGGTGGACGGAGTAAACAAAAAATTCCATACGGCAGCGTCCCGGATACGTGGAGGTAAAAAAGCTCTCGCGAATAGCTCGATTTGCGTATCACACGACGGGTATAACTTGTTGCCAGTTGCGAGCGTGACTGAGACTAAGTGGGAAATGAGGTCTCTGTCGGGAGTATCCCATTTCTGGACTGTCTTCCAGGATACTGTCCAACGATGATCTTCAAATGAGACTGTACCCTCACCGCTTACATAGAACCATTTGAGGAGAAAGCGCTCCTTCCATACGTAGTGGTTCACACTACGTTTGTTTGTTCATTGTGGAGGGCCTTTTCTAACGTTCCTGCAAGTATTATTTCGCTTATTGGAAGCGCCAATCCAGAAAATTCACCATATTCGTTTGATTGTGCCAAACACAAGTTTAGGATACAACAAATTACGATAAAATTCACAACTGAATCAACGAATACAATAGCTCGACTAGGATGCGCTTGTCGACGGTGTTTAATCAGGCCAGTCCTTGTTGGGAACCGGCGGAAAGATTCAGCACAGACCGACTGAGTGACTATGTTTATGCCACTATTTTCATGGATGGGCTGCAAAGCCAGCCTTCGATTTACATCACTTATCACAGTCCTAACACACGAGGCCAGCGAGTCTCTGCTGCGTATTAAATGGAACTGGTGCAGAGGTGGCAGCTGGCTGACAAAATTAATCAGAACTTTAAAACCAAACATGTTGTTTGGTCCGATCTGGAGTTGCTGAACTCTTTGCTCATCAGGAGCAACTTCTGGACCAACTTGTCGTCACAGCCACTAGTCGAAGGCAAACTCACCGAACCAGTTACGCGATCATTCAGACCTTATACTACCGGAGACGGCGTCTCCTACAGCTTAAATTTGGACGCCGATGAGTACTGGACAGCCGGACAACCGGATGAACGAAGAATACTAGTGTAGAATGCGAAGAAGCATGAAGAGGGCACTGATGGATTTTTCATCCCAACATCTCAGTTCTACCTGTCATTGATTGAAATGTTTATTGTTTTTCCGATGACCATGTCTCATCGAGAGTCCGCCTAGAGTGTTTTTGAATTGGTTTCACCGAGGTCACAGTCCGGGACTTGGGTCTGTTCATTACAATGACGAACTATTGTAAAGAGAATAATTGTTAGTGAGTCTGTTCCATCTGACCTCTTTATTATTGTATACCCAACCTAGCGTTATTATTTTTATTTCTTTGCCACACACTCCTTGTAAACTAACTTAGTGGGCAGCCAGACCACTACAAGGTAATAGTCTCACTTGTACAGATCAGAACTTTAAACGAATTTGACAAGACAACTTGAAAAGTGACTGCGAGACCAAGATGATTTGGAAGTCAGTGTAGCTAGCGTAAAAGTGTGCTACCGAACTTGTAGTTCGGGTGATTTTTCATCAATAGGTTTATCAGGAAGGTCAGATTCTCGAAATCTACTGAAACCCTCAAACCAGATCAAAATTACAGTAGGGTAGCCGTCAAGCATCCAGGCTGGAAAAGCCAGTTTCCGATCGAACGCTCAAACAGTCAATCAATTCGCGACAGTTGACGAGTGTTAATGTACGCCGTGAAAGCACGACCAACGAGAATGAGTGTTCAGGCATTCCATAGAAGCACGATCGATAATGATGAATGTTCACCAGATGCCGATCAGACAGCAATGTCAAAAGTGCCCTCTAAATACCACGAGAACCCTTGTAGCTTTTGCACTCGCTTGTTCACAAAGTAGTCCTGGTTGGCGAGCCTTTTTCCGACACCAAGGCAATGGAGTGGGGACTGAAGTTAGTCACAACAGGGTTCGTGGTTAGTTGATCACGATCAGGCGGAATATGATCCCAAACGGACGGCAAACGCATGTCACAAGCGATGCAACAGCAGCTCCCATATAAGTTTGACGCCTCCGCTATGTAAACCTATTGAACTGGTGGCAGTAAGCAGGCAATTTGTGAGGCCCTATTCTCGTCACAGTGCATCACAGTAGGTTAGCAAGCGATAGGTGCAATTACTGAACATCATAACATATCTATATTTAATTTACGCCAACACGTGATGGGAGACGCTTAAGCGTTTTTGTTGAATCCCACGTGATTTAGAAAACTCATCTCCGTGGCTCCCATCATTTTTTTGTAAAAACTGTTCCTGTGGCAATGTTCTGCGCACCACCACGTAAATATGGTCTGATCAGTGTCGGACAGAGAAAAAGGGCTTAGCAGCGAAGTGGCTTAGGCGGGTGCGCCGTCACACGTGCACCCACCAAGGTTCCTAGGTGTGGTGAGCCTGATCTAGTCACAGCACTGGACAGCTGCGGAGCTGACAAGGCACGTGTGCGATCACGCGAGGCCTCAATGCTCAGCCAGTATGTGCCTGATTGACTTTTGAGGGCCGTTACCTTACAGCTATATCACCAGGCTGAGTTATGGGATCACGTCGGGATCTCATCAACAAGGTAATCGAAGCCGTCATGGCTAAAGTTGCCATCACACACGCAGGCCTTCTAAAAAAGCCTGACAAACGTGGGATGACAGTAAAAGATTTGGTCTGGTTACCATCACCTGAAACACCCAATGACATTGTCTCTGTCTAAAATTTACTTTCTTGTGTCTTGTGGCAGCCTTATAAGGTTTCAGCTGCTCTGAAAAAATGACCACAGTCCGCCAGCTGGAACATCGAACGAACTCTGAACACATGTTTGAAGGTGAAAGGTATGTAGTGCTTCAGGTTCCATGCCATTGGAACCATCTTTAGGCTTTTGTCGGTATACCTCTATCGCGTCATCTCAGAATTTCGGTGTAACGTGTTAAGGTGAAAGGCCGGGATGTCATGAAGCAAAAAAGCATGGACCATTGATGGGGTTACGGAGGAAATTGGACCAAGAGCGGGTACAGGTTATTCGCGAAGCTAGCAGAGCAACTGAACGCTGTGGTTTGATCATACATAGCCCTCGTATGTTCAATACCAATCAGCATCAAGCCACATAAGCTTCGTTGAGGTCAAACACAGAGGCGGGAAGACTGCAGCTACCACTGGTGATTGGTCGATACATCAGCCCATGGCTGTGGATCGATGCCATGACAGCTGTCCGTGTGCCATGGTCCAGGTGACGTGACAGCTCACCACACCGTGGTATTGCCTCGAAGCCCTTGCGCGCACACTCATTTCACCTTTCCTTAAGTT